CCCGGGAACTGGAGTTACAGACAGTTGTGAGCTGCTATGTGGGTCCTAGGAATTGAACCTGGGTCCTCTGGAAGAGCAACCAGTGCTTTTAACCCCTAAGCCATCTTTCCATCCCCAAAATATATACTTTTCAAGATAGAGTTTCACTATGTAGCACTGGCTCACCCAGAAGTTGGTATATGATATATAATTTTGGATGTTTGTCCAAGGTTGTGGGCACTGCCACTGTGTCTTTTATAGTTTTTTTTTAAGGTAATAATATGGCAGCTTGTAAAAAACCTTCCTCCAAAATAAAGTTCAAAGTATTGACAAAAATCTGCAAATAAGCGTCTGCCCACCTCTGTGCTCTTCTTCCCCCATGGAGGTAACTGTCCTCCTAGATCCTATGTTCATCATTTCCTCTTTCTCATTGTTTTAACTTGCTGCCAATCTATAACTTACACACTGGATGCTAAACAAATATTAAGCATGCAAGCCGAATGATTTCTTGCGTAGATTTTATGTAACCAGGACAACACACAGAACGTCTCCCATCCCCTGGTGATGCTCCCTTTTGAGCCCTCCGGGTCAGATCCCTACTTTTCACCACTTACCGTTCCAATCAGAATGTCTGGGACATGTGGTTTTCCCGAATGCTTGTTATTGTCTGGTCTGGGTTGTGTTGGTTTGGTTTTGTGATAACTGTTCTGATGGGTGTAAAATGGCATTCCCCCCATGAGTGATTTTCATTTGTGCTGTATTTATGACTGAGGGTGTTGGTCCCTTCTCATGTACTTACTAGTCATCCTTGCATCTCTTTTGGTGAATTGTCTTTTAAAATCTTTTGTATATTTTTAATTGGGTTGTCTGTCATGTTGTCATGAGTTATAAGTGTTCTTTATGTGTTCTCAATATAGTTCTTTGCTGAAAAAAGAAACCAAGAAAGACTACAGGACAGGTGACACATGTGCTGATCCCTCTACTATGGGAACAGCTCTGAGACTGGATGAGACATGATAAATCTTGTTGGCTACAGAGTCCTCATGACTTACTATTACATGCCATCCTCTCGTATGGCATGGATAGCGGTTTGGTTATACAGTTCAAACAGACTTATAAAATTAACAGATGCCTTTTACCTGCTCAAACATAGAACAAAAAATCATCTTTAACTGACTTGTGCATACTGTACATTCCATACTTACGTTAATGCAGATATATATGTTAGTGTTGGCATTCAGGCCCTGTGGAGACCCACAGAGGCTTCCTAGTGAGAAATTACTCAGGGTCAGAGAATCTGAGCTTGCTTTACCCAGCAGGGCTGCATAATTGGGTGATTTGACCACGGGCATGGTTACCAGGTATTTGGAAGGGTCTACACTTGGCTGTGCGGTGTGCTTTGATCTTGCAAGGGGGAGGTCTTTTGCCTCTCCCCTTGACATGTTATAAAAAGCCCTTTTCAATAATGGATGCGGCTGTTGGGTATTGATCCAGGCCCTCCCGAAGCTATCCTGTGTTTCTTTCTTCTCGTCAGCTAGGTCTGTCTTTCTATCTGTCATTTCTTAATTCCTCTCTCCTCCACCTAAGACCTTCAAAAGGTGGGAGCAGGCTCTCACAAGGCCCACCCCTTGAGGACCTACCCAGCATCCTGATGTCATTTTAGTAAGTTTAAGAAGAAAAACCCCTCCCCCTTCTTCCTTCTCCCTTTCTTGCTATGAGGCAGTGCACACCTCTACTTGCTCTTTTTCCCTCTCTTTCTCTTCCTCTCTCTCTCCTTTTCCCTCTCTCCTTTCCCCGCTCTTTCTCTCTCTCCTTACCTTTATTCCCTCTCCCCTCCCCTTTTAATAATAAAACTTTCTATGTGGATGCCGTGTCTGCATAGTGTGAGTAACTTTCCACCCTGCCATGCCGCCGCCGCTGCCGCCGCCGCCTCCTGCTCTGCATGGTGTGCCTCCTGGTCTGCATGGTGTGCCTCCTTGACAGACACTGCCGCGGGCACCTTGGCTTAAACCTGCCAAAGCCTCTTGCATACAAAAGTTACCTTTAAAAGTTTGTGTATTTTCAAAAAGAAAAAAGGACCAAATATCAATAAAGACAAGTAGCCCAGGTGATCCAGCCTCTCAGAATGCCTCTGCTGCAATTTCCTCAAAATTCTGCACCCAGAATAACCTCAAAGCCACTGGCAGACATAGATGGTCCAGCCACACAGACTGTCCAGCCAAGACTTCAGATAAGCTCTACACTCTCCCATCACACAGAGACTAAACAAAAAATAATACAACTGTGTACTATCCAGACTTCAATTCCAATCAGAGATCTAAGAAGGATAGAATATTAGCTGAGTAAACAGGAAGTACAGAGCGAGCAACTACTAAAACTACAGAAATGACAGAAACAGCTGTAGTTACCAAATTCAGAAAAAAAAACTTACATAAGAGATATAAAGTTTATAAGGTTGAGAAACATAAAAGCTTCAGCTGTTTAATCTAAGAAGATATTTTTAGCTGGGCAGTGGTGGTGCACACCTTTAATCCCAGCACTTGGGAGACAGAGCCAGGTGAATCTCTATGAGTTCAAGGCCAGCCTGATCTACAGAGCAACAAAAGGGGGAAATGTGGGATATCTGTGCATTGTGTGAAGGTGTATAGCTGTGATTTGGTGTAATAAAAGTGTGAACAGTCAATAGTTAGGCAGGAGGTATAGGCAGGATTTCCAGGGAAAGAAAGGAAGAGGAGGAGGAAATCAGGCTTGAGGGAGATCCTAGGAGATATGGAGAGGAAACAGGAGGTGCAAGATGGAAGAGCAGTAACACCATGTGATAAAATATAGATTAATATAAATGAGTTACTTTAAGCTATAAGAGCTAGTTAGGAACAAGCCTAAGCAATAAGCCGAGCATTCATAATTAAGAAGAAGTCTCCATGTCATTATTTTGGGAGCTGACTGGCAGGACAGCAAAAGACTAATTACACTTCACTGTATATGTATTTGTAAATACTGTAGGCTATCATTTTTTTAATTTAATTTTAAGTGTATGAGTGTTTTGCCTGCATGTACGTCTGTACACATGGGGGTGCATAGTGCAAACAGAGGCCATAAGAGAACTTCAGAGCCCCTGAGACTGGAGTTACAGGGAGAGATGGTGAGTTATTGTGTGGGTGCTGGGAATTGAACCCTGGTAGGCTGGAAGAACAGACAGTGCTATTAACCATGGAGTCATTTTCCAGCCCCACTTACCATTTTCTTAATGCTGACTGATTATCTATCCACCTGTTATCTAACATCTGTCTGTCTGTCTATAGGTCTGTCTGTGTGTTGTCTGTGTGTGCATGCCTGATGCCTGTGGGTGTGCACATACATATGTGTGAATGTGGAGATAAGAAGTCAGTCTCAGGAATGCTATCCACCCTTGTATGTGTGGAGTGTGGTGTATGTGTATGTATGTGTGGAGTGTGGTGTATGTGTATGTATGTGTGGAGTGTGGTGTATGTGTATGTATGTTTGGAGTGTGGTGTATGTGTATGTATGCGTGGAGTGTGGTGTATGTGTATGTATGCGTGGAGTGTGGTGTATGTGTATGTATGCGTGGAGTGTGGTGTATGTGTATGTATGCGTGGAGTGTGGTGTATGTGTATGTATGCGTGGAGTGTGGTGTATGTGTATGTATGTGTGGAGTGTGGTGTATGTGTATGTATGTGTGGGCACGAACATCTTTGTGCATACTTGCAGAGACCAGAGGAGGACATTGGTTGTCTGTGTTTATCATCCTCTGTTTCATTCCTTTAAGATAGGACCAGATAGGAAGCTGGTGGCCAGCAAGTCCCAGTGATCCTCCTGTCTCCGCCTCTCACAGTACTGGGATTACAGGGGAGCCTGAGGCCAAGTCTGACTTTATATGTTTGTGACCTGAGTTGTAGATATGGACTCAGGTCTCCATGCTTGCCTGGCAAGCACTTTATCAACTGAACCATCTCCCCAGCCTGTTTACTTACTTAATTGTGGTGCTGGGTCTGACTGAACCCAGATCATTGCCCATCCTGGAGGAGTGCTCTAACACAAACCGCAGTCCCAGCTCTTAATGATATCTTTTATTTAATCAAAGTGAAATCCATATAATGTGAAATTAAGCATTTTAAATGAACTGAATTGTCCACTTAAAATGTCTTCTTTTGAGATAGAATCTCATTTAGCCGAGGCCGGCTTCTGACTCACTAATGTAACCTAGAATGACCACAAACTTTTTTTTTTTTTTTTTTTTTTTTTTTTTTTTTTTTTGAGACAAGGTTTCTCTGTGTAGCCCTGGCTGTCCTGGAGCTTGCTTTGTAGACAAGGCTGTCCTGGAACTCACAGAGATCTGGCTGCCTCTGCTTCCCAGGTGCTGGGATTAAAGGCATGCGCCACTACCTCCCAGCGGACCACCAACTTGTGATCTTTCTACTTCTGCCTCTGGAGTGGTGGAATTACAGGCATGCACCATCACACGTAGTTTATATGGAGCTGGGTATTGAAGCCAAGGCTTACTCTGTCAACTGAGCTAAATCTCTAGCCCAAAGGTTTGTACTTTTGAGGTCTGGTCTCACACAGTTGAGGCTGGTCTTGAGCTGATCTTCCCTCTCCACCTCTCAAGAGCTGACATTACAGGCATGTGCCACCACCATGGGTTTTATCATTGAAAATGTTATCACAGAATTTTTTTTTAATTTTTCTTTTCATGGTAGGGATTAGATCCAGGGTCTCATTCATGCTAAGGACATGCTCTGCCAACAAGCTGAGCTCCCCAGCAGTAAAGATTTTAGATGATCATTTATGGCACGATGAAAAATCATTTGTGCATATCCATCATTGCACAACTCCTTAAAAGACACTGGCTTAGCCGGGCAGAGTAAGAGGATTCTTCAATTGAGCTGGCCAGATGTGAGTCCTACTACTGGTAGTCAGCAGCTGGGATCTGGCTAGCCCTCTGACTGCTCTGGGACGCAGCTGCTGCATCCGCCAAATCAAGCCTTTTTACTGTACCCTAGGACCTGCCCTGGGCTCTGCCTTCATCTTTCCCATGAGCCCAAGAGGGATGTAAGACCGCACCACTAGTCCGGCTTCACAGATGAAGAAACAGCCTGAATGCAGCTGACTAGACCAGTTGACCTTGCGGGACCTGTCTCTTCTCCACCCAAGCCTGGAGCCTCCTCCCGGACTGAGCAGAAAGCTTCATCGTTTGCATATTTCTCATGGCACCCTGTGCCACCGGCGGAGAAGTCTGCGTGAATCAGGGTGCGCACTGAGATTCCGGGGAGTCTTTCTGTCTGACACCTTCCCAGCTTATGTAAAGTGACCTGGATGCTTGTTGCTTGATTCTATCTTTGCCTGAAGAATTTTTAGGTGTGACTTTAGTCTGCGTTTTTTGTTGTCGGAGCTGTCGCTGCTGCCTCTTCTTCTTTGGATTGCAGATTCTAGTTTAGGACAGACAGTTCCAGTGAGCACTCTAGGGAAAGAATATTCTGGTTTGCAATTTATAGAGGTGGGTCACTGGGGGTTTCGTGTGCTAAGGATAATATTACATTTGAAAGCAAGAAAGGAGAGGACTTGTGGGGGCTGTGCCAGGATTCCCACCCCCCAACATTTCACTATGAAAGCATTTAAACTGTGGAAAGACCGAAACAGCAAATACCCACCTACCTAACACTTAGAGTCTATAACTATCATCTGATTGCCGCTTGCTCTGTCACACATTCATTTGTTGCCCCCCCCATTTCTCTACCCATTCATCTCAATTTTTTGACAATTTCAATGACGTTGTAGAGTTTACTCTACCTCTAAGCACTTTAGCATGCCCATCATTAACTAGCATTTAGCATTTGGATTTGCTTATGTTAAATAACTGCATAGGCAGTTATTGCTTTAGATTGAGCTCCTGCACTAGGCCCCAAAGGGCCAAACCCAAAACAGACTCATCCTAAATTGCAAGTCCCCATGTCTTTTTTTTTTTAAATTTATTTATTTTATATATGTGCATGGTGTTTTGCCTGCATGCATGTTTGTGTGAGGGTGTCAGATCCCCTGGAACTGGAGTTACAAACAGTTATGAGCTGCCATGTAGGTCCTAGGAATTGAACCTGGGTCCTCTGGAAGAGCAGCCAGTGCTCTTAACCACTGGGCCATCTCTTTTTTTTTTTTTTTTTTTTTTGGTTTTTCGAGACAGGGTTTCTCTGTGTAGCTTTGCGCCTTTCCTGGATCTCGCTCTGTAGACCAGGCTGGCCTCAAACTCACAAAGATCCGCCTGGCTCTGCCTCCCGAGTGCTGGGATTAAAGGCGTGCGCCACCACCGCCCGGCACTGGGCCATCTCTTGAGCCCCCAAGTCTCCGTGTCTTAATGTTTACAAGAAAAGTAATTTTGAAGTGACCAGCCCACCTTCTGATACCTGTTTCTACTTTATCCAGCCACTAGCCTTGGGCCATCGACAAGGCTAGCAGGTAAAAGCACTTGTTTGAGCCTGGAAACCCACCTAAGAAGATGGGTGTGATGGTGCACATCTGTAATCCCGGCCCTCCTATAGTGAGATGGGCTGGGTGACAGAGGCTGGAGAACCCTGGAGCCTCTCAGCCAGTTAGCTGGGGGTATGCAGTATACAAGAAACAAGAGGGAGTTTGCTGCAGTTTTGTGGGAGCAGAGGACCAACTCCTGGAAGCTGTCCTCTGACTTCTACACATGCTGTGGATGTACATATGCATTTGTATTCATACATACATTATCCTCTCTCTCTCTCTCTCTCTCTCTCTCTCTCTCTCTCTCTCACACACACACACACACACACACACACACACACACACACACACACACCACATGCACACGTACACACAATAATAATAGTAAAGAAAATCAATTTTAAAGAAAAGATAAACTTGATTTACAGGCATGACTGGTTTTATACTTGGCCTTTGGTAGTCAAATGAACACTCATCTTTTTCTCCTCGCCAGAGGCTGGGGCTGGGGCTGAAAGGCCCAATCTTCTAACCTTGTTTGGTTTTTCCAGTGATAGCCCCATCCCAGAGCTACCTAGTTGTCCCTTCTCCCTGTTTGCTGCTTCCTGGTGTGATCAAATTGCCAGGTGGATTTGTTTTTTTGTGGTTTTTTTTTTGTTTGTTTTGTTTTGTTTTGTTTTTCGAAACAGGGTTTCTCTATGTAGCTTTGTGCCTTTCCTGGAACTCACTTGGTAGCCCAGGCTGGCTTCCAACTCACAGAGATCTGCCTGGCTCTGCCTCCCGGAGTGCTGGGATTAAAGGCGTGCACCACCACCGCCTGGCTGACTTGTGTTTTTTTAAGGTATTTAAGGTATCCAGGTGGATTTGTACTCTGTCAGAACAGAGGATGACTTCAGCTGTCTCCTCAGTTCTGTATTTGTGAGTGTATTTCCTCAATTTATATCCTAATAAATTCCCTAATACTCCTTAAGCAGACTCCTGTGGATTTCCTGCATTACCTAGCAGCAGTCAGCCGTCAGTCAACTCAACATACAAAGAGACACTTCTTACTTGGGAATGTTTGAGAATTTTTAGGAACTGCATATCAGAAATCAGGATACATCAATATCTATCCTTTCTCTCTCTGTCTCTCTGTCTCTCTCTCTCTAATAGATGGTACCTATTGTCTATGTACCATCTGCCTATCTTCCATCTATCTGTCTATGTATGCATGCATGTATGTATATATTTATGTATGTATGTGTATGTATCTGTCTATCACCTGTCTGTGTGTGTGTCTGTCTGTCTGTCTGCCAGCCTGTCTACCTACCTACCTGTCATCTTTCACACAATCAGTTTGTGTTGTCACAATTTGTTCTTTCTCTTTGCGTACTTGTATTCCATAGTCTGGATGAATATTTGAGAGTTTACTAATTCTCCTGTATAACACAACATCTTAGATTGGTTTCCAACATTTTCTTTTTAATTTTCTGTTGTTGCTTTTTGTTTTTATTTTTTTGGGTGGGTTTGTTTTTCAAAATAGGGTTTCTCTGTGTAGCCCTGACTGTCCTGGAACTCGCTCTGTAGACCAGGCTGGCCTCTAACTCATAAATCCGCCTGCCTCTGCCTCCTGAGTGTTGGGTGTAAGGCGTGTGCCACCACTGTCCAGCTCCTTTTTAATTTTTTTTTTTTTTTTTTTTTTGGTTTTTCGAGACAGGGTTTCTCTGTGTAGCTTTGCGCCTTTCCTGGAACTCGTTTTGGAGACCAGGCTGGCCTCGAACTCACAGAGATCCGCCTGGCTCTGCCTCCCGAGTGCTGGGATTAAAGGCGTGCGCCACCACCGCCCGGCTCCTTTTTAATTTTTAAAGATTTGTTTTTACTTGTATATCTGTGCTTGTATCTGCATCTTAGTATACCCAAGTGCATTCAGGTACCCAAGGAGGACAGAAGAAGGCATTGGGTCCCTTGGAGCCAGAGTACAGGCACTTGTGAGCTAGTAGATGTTGGTGGTGGAACTGATTCAGGTTCTCTGAAAGAGCAGGAAATGCTTTTAACTGCTAAGATGTCTCTCCAGCCCCTATTTTAAAATTTTTAATTGGAGGCAGGTTCTCAATATGTAACCCAGGCTGGCCTCAAATTCACTGTATAACTGAGGATGACCTCAAACTTCATTTTCTAAATGTATTTTATTTCATTCTTTTTTTTTTATCATAAGTGTGTGTGTGTGTGTGTTTGTGTGTGTGTGTGTGTGTGTGTGTGTGTGTGTGTGTGTGTGTGTAGGTCAGATGACAACCACAAATATTGCCTTTCATTTTGTTTGAGACAGGGTCTCTCCTTGGCTACTGTGTAGGCTAGGCTGGTCTTTGAGATTCTGGGCTTTCTCCTGTGTCTGCCTCCCATCTGGAATGCCACACTGTCTTGCTCTGTAGACCAGGCTGACCTTGAACTTATAGACGTCTGCCTGCCTCTGCCTCCTAAGTGCTGGGATTAAAGGCATGCGCCACTGCTGCCTGGCTTACCCTGTCTAGCTTTATGTGAATTCTTAGAAGCTGAACTTACGCTTTTGAGCAAGTGATTCTCCCATTGGGTATCTCCCCAGCTGACCATGAGCTTCTGAGCCTCCTGACTCCACCTCCTGAGTGTTGGGATTAAAGATGTATGTCTCCACTCCCTGTTGTTTTTTGTTTTGAGACAGGTATTTCTCTATATCCCTGTCTGGCCTGGTACTCATTATGCAGTTCAGGGTGGCCTCCAGCTTATAAGAATCCTCCTGCCTCAGCCTTCCAAGTGCTAGCATTAAGACACGCACCACTAGGTCTGGCAGTTGTTGTGTTTTACATGTATTAGCTAATTTAATCCTCAGTAATACTAAATGCCAGGTGCATTACTATTCCCATCTTATAGATGAGGAAACTGATCATCCTACTGAGGTTGACATATGTGTTTAATGACATAGTGCATGTGAAACTCTTAGGGCAAGGTTTAGTGATTACAATGTAAGATGTAAACATTAGGAATTTTTACCAACTTGGTCTTCGGATTTGGAAGCATTTACATTTACTGCTCTTGATTATTAGTAGGAAGCAAAGTTGCCAAATACCATATAGGATGCCCAGTGAAATTTGGATTTTTGGAGTGAAGGGGCATGAGGAGGGCAGTGGAGAAGTGAGTAAAAACAAAGTATTATGAGATATATGTCACAAGGAAATACTGTACTTTGCATGTTAACTACTAATTAAGTATGGCCAGGGAGCTGACTTATCCAGTAAGGGCACTTGTTACCCACTGTGGAACTGATGGAAGTTCAATCCCGGGGACCAAGTTCAATCCCTGGGACCCACGTGGTGGGAAGAGAACCAACTTCTGCAAGGCTGTCCTTTGACCTCTACACACGGCATGACTTGGCACACACGATAAATAAATAAATGTAATTATGATTCTAAAATAAAAATAAACAATATCTTAAATTTTTGAAAGTTTTAAATATTAACCAGGTAGAGTGGCAAACACCTTCAATCTCAGTACTTGGGAGACAGAGGCAAGCAAATCTCTGTGAGTTCAAGGCCAACTTGGTCTACATAGTGAGTTCTAGGCCAGCCAGGGCTACATAGTGAGACCTTGTCTCAAACATTTTTTTGGATCTTAGATAATGAAAAAAAAAAGCATAAGTTAGTCACATGCAATTTTGGCTTTAAAAACATAATACTAAAACACTATCCATTTTTGCTTGTTTGCTTATTTTTGCTTTTGTTTGTTATTCTCACTTAGGAGGGAGCTTCTGAGCTAGAACTCATAGCTTTTCTCAAACTAAATATGGATATCTTTGCTGTTTATCTGAGATTCAAATTAAACTAGGCATTTTACATATTTAAGTGTTTTATTACATTTATTTACTCTGTGGGTGCCCTAAACAAATCAGTAGATTAAAGTATTATGTTAGGTATTTTGACCTATTTTTATTTTATGTGTATGAATGTACACCATGTGCAGGCCAGAAGAAGATGTTGGATATCCTGGAACTGGAGTTAAAGATGGTTGTGAGCTGCTCTGTGAATTCTGGGAATCAAACCCTGGTCCTCTGCAAGCGCAGCAACTACTCTAACCACTGAGCCATACCTCTAGCCACGTACTTCAAATTCTTATAGTAGCTGAGAAATAAAATTCTGAATTAAATTTTTGAAGATTAAAGATTTACTTGAGTCACTGAATAAGCATTTTACAAATAAGGTCTTCTTGTCTTTTTTTTTTTTTTGAGACAGAGTTTTACTATGAAGCCCTGGCTGGCCTGGAACTCACTAAGTGAACTAGACTGGCCTCAAACTCTGCGTCCCAACTGCTGAGATTAAAGGCAGGTGCCCTCATGTCTTGCAGGCTTTTTGTTTGTTTGTTTGTTTCTCTGTGTAGCTTTGGAGCCTGTCCTGGAACTTGCTCTGTAGACCAAGCTGGCCTTGAACTCACAGAGATCCACCTGCAGGCATTTAAAAAAAAAGATTTATTTTTATTTTTTGTGTGTTTGTGTTCATCTACATGCTAAATGTGTGCCGGGGTCCCTGGAGACCAGAAGAGGGCATCAGATCCTTTGGATTTGGAGTTGCAGGTGGCTGTGATCTATTTGATAGGAGTGTTTGGAACTGAACATGTGTCCTCTGGAAGAGCAGAAAGAGCTGCTTCTGACTGAACCATCTTCCTAGCCACACCCCCACCAAGGTATTTTTAATATAAAAAAAGATTTTGTGTTTGTTATTAGTGTGTGTGTGTGTGTGTGTGTGTGTGTGTGTGTGTGTGTGTGGTGTGAGTGTGGAGGTCAGGAGACAGCGATGTTCAGGGGTCAATTCTCACCTTTCACTGTGTGTTCTGGTGTTGGACTCAGACACCTGGTCTTTGGAGTTGTCATCTGCTGATCCATTTTACCAGTTTCAATATAGATTTTATTTGTTTGTTTGTTTGTTTGTTTATTTGCTTGTTTTGAGACAGAGTTTCTCTGTGTAGCCCCGACTGTCCTGAAATTCACTTTGTAGACCAGGCTGACCTTGAACTCACAGAGATCTGTCTGCCTCTGCCTTCTGAGTACTGGATTAAAGGGGTGTGCCACCACCTGGCTTCAATATAAGTTTTAAATAGGAGGGTTCTGAGGAAGAAGGTGCTCGTGAAAAAAATAAGATACTTGGGGAGAGCATGGGCTTGGGCTGCTCAAAGATGGAGTGGTTTTTTATAATAGCTGTGTATACAGTATTTTGGAGGCTTTTGAAACTATTATCTTCAAAGTGTTGCTAAAGAACCTAATGAGATGACAGTGTGGTTCATGGGCCCATCTGACAGGGTTGCAATTGATAAGGAAAAAGTCTAGATCATGGGTTAGAAGATACTTATTTTTTTTTTTTTTTTTTTTTGGTTTTTTCGAGACAGGGTTTCTCTGTGTAGCTTTGCGCCTTTCCTGGAACTCGCTCTGGAGCCCAGGCTGGCCTCGAACTCACAGAGATCCGCCTGCCTCTGCCTCCCGAGTGCTGGGATTAAAGGCGTGCGCCACCACCGCCCGGCAAAGATACTTATTTTAAACAAAGTGAATAGTCTTGTTTGTGGGTTTCCCAGAAAGTTACTGGGACAGGAACAAGGCCCTTTCCAAGGTCATATGCTTTCAGGCCTGGAGCCTGGTTCATCACTATTTTAACATAAAATATGTGTAAATGAAAGAACTATCTTTACATTTGCAACCTTCTTAGTAAACATTATTAATTGTGCTTTTAAATTCTCAGCTGTCCAACCCCATTCTGTGGAAGGTCTTCATTTTCTTCTCATGTCTCTCTGATTTTCCTTGTCTTTTATCCTGACTCAGCAGCAAAAATAGAACCTGTGAAACTCATTCTGCAGATGAGGAAACATCCTCAAAGATAGGAAAGGATGTAGCCATAGCCTTAGGTATCCCCCTTCACACACTCCAGGGTCCCATGTAGCCGAGGCTCTTCTGGAGCTCAGTATGTAGCTAAGGATGACTTTAACTCTTGGTTCTGCTGTCTATACCTCTCTGGTTCTGGGGTTATAGGTACATGCCACCATGCCCAGCAAAAGGCTGATGTTTAGTGTTTTATTTGGTGTGTATATATGAGTTTGTTTGTGTGTAGGTGCTTGTGTATCAAGATGTGCCATATGTAGAAGTCAGGACAACTTGTAGGAGTCTGTTCTCTCTTTCCTCTGTGTAGATGAGTCCAAGAGATTGAATTTAGGTAATTAGAAATTTGTAGGTGGACGTTTCTGTTCCTCACCCTCCTCCCTCTTCCCTTCTCCACCTTCTGTTCTTTGAGACATGGTCCTCCAGCTGTTCTCAAAGTCACTGTGTAGTCAAAGGTGATCTTAAGCTCTTGATCCTCCTGCCTCCACCTTCAAAGGGCAGGTATTACAGGCATGTAGCCCTGTACGCATCTGGGCACCGCCTTCCCTTGCCTAGAGCCAGCTCCTTCAGACTTTGAGGCTTTGCTGTAGCGACGGCTTTCTTTCCTGGCTGACCTGGTGTCCTAGACAGAAGAAAAATGAAAGTGGTTTGAGGTTTTATTAACCACTGTTTCTACATTTTAATGTTTTCAGTCAGGCCAAGACTGGGGTAGTTCTGAGTCAAGGAAACTGAGAGCCAGAACCACACAGCGTGAAAGAATGAGGAAATGGCCTGGCTGTGATTTGTTGCCTTGACCAACATAGCTTCTTGGAGAACCACCAAGTACCTATTTTAGATCTGCTTGAATCTTCACGACATCCTGGGAGGTGGACTTGTAACCATCCTGACAAGAATGAAGACATCAAAAGAGATACTTGTACCCATCAGCTATCAAACTATTGGGACAAGGGACAACAATCTTCCCAGGCGTCTAATTCTGGTGAAGGGAAAGGCCTTGGAGCCAGGCAGAGGAGAACTTGTCTCCCTAAAAGATGTCACAAAGTTCTGACAACTCCTCAGGGTGCCAGAGAGACTGGAGCCCAGACAATGGTCTCACCTTAACCGTGACTGCTTAGCTATGCATACATACCCCTTGCCCTCTGTTTAAACCGAAGCCTCATGTCAGGACCCTAAAGTTGGACTTGAGGAGTTCACCGGACCTCTTTGTTGCTCTTCTCAACGTGTTCATAGTGCACCAAATCTCTTTTTTCTGCTTGTCAATATTACTTTGTCTCTTTAGTTGCCTTTTTGGGGAGAGATGGGCCAGCCTAGCTTGTCAGGGCTGCCAGGCCCTGGCTCTGACCATCACATCTCTGTTACAGGATCTACTATTTTCATATGGTGATTTGGTTGTGGAGGCTCAGATGACTGTGTCTGAGACTTTGAAAGCAAAGCAGCATCGGCTGCTCACTCGAGTATCTCCATTGGCTCAGTTACTTTTTGTTCCCCTCCCTTTGCTGGGTATTCTAAATTCTCATTCTAATTCCCAATTTTTATTTCGATGACTAAGATGATAATTGTTAAGTGATCTTACTTTAGATTTACAGAACCTTGACCTTCATATAACATCAGAATGTGTACTGCCACTCCATAGTCTTTGATTTTGGGCATCAGATAACACAAAACACGTAAGTTGCTATGATGTCTAACTTGTAGAAAGTAGGGCGTTTGTTCTAGGGGGCTTGCCCATTGCCACCTCCCCCTTCTTCCCCCTCTTATAAAAGTCCTTCTGGGCTGGGAAGATAGCTTTGTAGGTAGAGTGTTTACTGCACAAGTATGAGCTTATGATTCCCAGCACCCATGTAAAAAACTAGCCTTGTTGGGCTGTGGTGGCGCACGCCTTTAATCCCAGCACTCGAGAGGCAGAGGCAGGCGGATCTCTGTGAGTTCTCGGTCAGCCTGGTCTACAAAGCGAGTTCCAAGAAAGGCTCAAAGCTACACAGAGAAACCCTGTCTTGAAAAACCAAAAAACAACAAAAACAACAACAACAACAAAAAAAAACTAGCCTTGGTGACACATACCTGTAATCCCAGCACTGGGGAGGCAGCGAGAGGAGGATCCTGGGCTTTGCTGGCCAGATAGGCTAGCTGAATCAGTGAGCTCTTGGTTTAGTAAGCGACCCTGTCTCAGAAAATAGTGACTGAGGAAGACACTTGGCATAAACATCTGCCCTCCGTGCCCACCTACACCACACACACACACACACACACACACACACACACACACACACACACATCACACCACAAACTTTGTGCCCCCGAGTTTCCTGAGATGGGGCTCTGAGGCAATGGGCCCTATCTCCTCAGGGTGCCAGTCTCTGCATAAAACTGATTTACTTTTCTCTCAGTCTTCCCCCTAAGAGGAGGGCTGGCATTTAGTGGCAAGCAGTTGGACATGGGTTCAGTAACAACAAGTTATTGGTAGAAGGGCTGGATTTTTACATTTCTCTGAAGTCTGCATTGTTAATTCTTGCCAGTTCCTGCCTCATCGATCCGAGCTAGTTTGCCCTGTTGACACTGGCAAGAAGCTTAAGGCAGCAGTCCACTGGTCAGAAAATATGACTTCTGGGGTCAGCATCACCTGGAAATGCGTTAGAAATACACATTCTTGGTCTCATCCTGGAACTTTCTAAGAACTTCTCAGGGACACGGCACACATCTAGCGTGTCCAAATCCTACATCAAATTCCCCAACCCATATTTTTAAAAAAGACATTCTTGGTGGAGGTTTGGAGTATAGCATTTGACTTCCAACACCTTAGTTTTACCTACTGTTAATAGAATTTTTAAATTGTGGGGCTGGCCAAGTAATCTACAAATCTGATTACTTAAGTTCCATCCTTGCTTGATACCTGGGTCGCTCCACGAGAGGAGAGAGCCAGCTCCTGAAAGTAGTCCTCTGACTTCCACACTAAGAATAATAAATAAAATAGAACTTAAAAAAAAAACATGCAGACAAGTTGAGTGTGATAATACATGCTTGTAAGCCCAGTACTGAGAAGGTTGAGGGTGAAGAATCCTGAGTTTGAGGCCAGCTTGAGCTACATAGTAAAAATTTGTCCCCAAAACAAAGAAAAATTTTAGATAGACTACCTGGAAGTAGATGACTTGGTTTCTTTCTTAGTGATCTTGGGCCAATTAGCAATTTCCTTCATACTCGGTTTTCTTCTCTGTATAAAGTAATGAAACACTTAATATCTGATAGTATGCCTCGTGACAAGAATCATCAGGGATGCTAGTTTAAAAAAATCCAGATTCCCCTAGAGCACACCACCCTCTCAATACTGGGCATAGAATCTTGGTCCTTACCAATGCTAGGCAAGTGCGCTACCAGTGAGCTACATCTCCACCCTTACAGCATAATTCCTAACCGGGAAAACATTAGTTGGAAGTACAGAAGAACTTTTTTTTTTTTTTTTTGGTTTTTTGAGACAGGGTTTCTCTGTAGTTTTGCGCCTTTCCTGGAACTCACTTTGTAGACCAGGCTGGCCTCGAACTCACAGAGATCCTCCTGCCTCTGCCTCCCGAGTGCTGGGATTAAAGGCGTGCGCCACCACCGCCCAGCCAGAAGAACTTTTATATGCTTAATCAAAACAAAACACCCCAAAAATCCAGGGTTTCACCGTGTAATTCCAGGTGGCCTAGAACTCGCTGTCTCTATCTGGTTAACCTCGAACTCCCAGAGATCCAGCTGTCTCTGTCTTCTCACCAGACCTGAAGCTTGTGGTCTTCGCTGGCTGACTAGGGAGCTCCTAGCTCTGCCCCCAGTACTGGCAGGCCTACGTCAGCTTTTACATGGAGGCTGGGGATTCAAGTCCCTGTGCTTACATGGCAAATGCTCTTACCCACTGAGCCATCTTCCAGCCCAGAATCTTGATTTTTTTAATAAACTCTCCTAGCACATAATGCAGAATATGGTCGTGTCAAAGGTACTTTAAAAAGTGCAAGTGACTTCCTAGATGGTTTCCTTACAAGGAAACAGGCTAAACAATAGTGGCAAAGAGGGATATTATGGAGTGCTTAAGTAGTGCTTCTGACTGTTTACATAGCCTATTAATTCTCACAAACACTTCTGAGGGAGGTTGAGGATAGGCTTAGATGCACTTGCCTTTGGAGTCTGTTCTGGATCTCGCTCTGTAGACCAGGCTGGCCTCAAGCTCACAGAGATCCACCTGTCTCTGCCTCCCAAGTGCTGGCATTAAAGGCGTGGGCCACCACTGCCCGTCTTGCCTGGGTTTCCTATCTTACATGCAGCTTAATTGAAGCATCTGAAAAAGGTAACATGGCATTTTTTCTCATAGTTTTGTGGTAAGGATTATAAAGTATGCTTTTCATTTTTTAGAACTCCTGTCGCGTTTGGCACTGTCAAACTGTCACCCTTCTAAGAACGCCCTGTCAAAAGGTGGAGAAAGGAGAATTTGAACCCAATCAGTATCTAACTCCAGAAGGATTGAACTGGCACAGCGATTCCCAAATTGTGATTCCTGCTGTCAGTAGTATCACTAGAGAACTTGTTAAAAATGCAAATTATAAAACACTCCCCACCCCATCCCAGATCTACCGAGTCAGAAACTGGCGGTGGGGGCTCAGCAGTCTGTTTTCAAAAGCTGTTCAAGAGATTCTAAGGCACACTAGAGTTTGGTAACAGTCTTTAGAGGTTCTGGCGGGGGTTGGGGGATTGGGAGTGGAGAGGAAAAGTGGTAAAAAAAAAAAAAAAAAAAGAAAAAGAAGGAAATAAGGAAGGAAGAAAAGAAAGACGTAAGGAAAACAGTAAGAAAAGAAGGAAGAAAAGAAAAAAGTCTTGGAGATGTAGCGAGCAAGGCTGGGACCACTTCACCTGGAGGTGAGGAAAATGATAGAGCAGGCTGGCACGCAAGGCCTGCTGGGGCCTGTAGTCCCGACTGCGCCTTAGGGGACGCGCCTGCGCACTGTATGCGATCTCGCTCTAGTCGCTGTAGTCGGGGCTCGGGACCGGCTGCCATCTTAGTGGAGGGACTGAGGAGTCGTCGCCGCCCCGAGTCCCGGTAAACACCCGCGGGCGGACTGGGGGGCACTTCTGTGGTTAGGAGGGAGCTCGGATAAAAAGGGCTGGGGAATGCGAGCGGTAAGGAGTGCGGCGCGCGAGTCGGGACCCAGAGCCGAAGCTGCTCTTCCCGCAGCCGGTGTCCGTGGGGGGCGCCCGGAGCTCCGGCTGGTGGCCCGAGCCGGGCGGCGGGTGGGTCAGCAGGACGAGCCGAGCAGCTAGTGCCTGGCCTGGACTCCCCGAGCCGGTGGCCCCATCGAACCCCAAGTTGGGAGAGAGCCGAGCCGCGGCGGACGTGGGCAGGGTCCAGCCCCGCGCCCCGCTGTCGCGCCGGGGGGCTCTTCTCCCGCGGCCCGGCCTACGCGCGGGGCCCGGTGGCAGCGGCCCGCCCGCGCGACGTGGCCCTTTGAGGGGCGGCGGCCGGGCCCACCTGCCACCTGGCAAGCTCTCTCTCTCTCGAGACTTTTCCAAGCTCCCACTCGCGGAGGACCTTCTCCCTTGGCTGCCTCCCCTTCTAGTCTTTCACTCCCCTCCTCCCTCCATTGTCCCCACTCATGGTGGTCCCGGCCCAGGCCGGCGCCGCGGACTTTTGCAGACGTGGAAAGCTGTCACTGTCCTTCCTTCCGAGAGCGTACTTTTCTGTAGCAAAGAAAAAAGTAGAGGTGGGCGTATTGGAAGGGTCGAAGCCGGATCAGGACATGACTTTAAAGTAGAAGGTTCGAGTTTTGAGACATAGTTTCGGGCTGCAACTTCAAAAGAGAAAAAAACCTATAAGGGTCAGCGTACCCGAAGTAGTCACTGGGCCTAAAGTTAGAGATGTGTCCAGGTGAACTTGCAAAAGTACCCGAAACTCAACGATGCTGCAATCATTTGTTTTCTTGATTGTGTTTAGAATCCTAATCTTGCTGAATTTTCTGCTTCTCTTTAACAGCTGTAGTGAACTTGTTCTGAAGGGAGGGGTGGGGAGAAAAGAGTGAGGATTTTGTTTTTCCTTTCAAAGTTACAGAACACAACCTAGCCACCCATCGTTACGCTCTTAAGTGCGTTGCTTCTCTTGCATCTGTGAGATCTTATGAAAGCAGGTAAAGGCCATGTATGTTAGTTGGCAACTGGCTTGGTTCTCATCTGAAATAAAGTTTTTTTGGCGGGGGTGGGAGGGTGGGGGAGGGTGGGGGGAGGCAACTTTGATGAGA